AAACATAAGCCTGATATAAAATCACATAAGGTGTGTCTAAAAAGCTAACTACAAAATATTTCAAGATGCCATCACAGAAAATTAATTCCACAGATTTCCAGAAATGAAGCAAAGATACAATAAGATTCTGAAGCAAAGATACCACAGACTTTCACTGTTGTCTATAACTTCAGCACAAATCTTTTCCTCTTCTCTTAAAAGTCACAGTAAAGGAAATTAAATAGGACTGGGTAAATTAAACATATTAACTAGTTGCAGGCGTCCAGTAAAAATAAGTTTAAAGCCAGATTCTGATGAATGAGAGAAGTCCTTTCCTGGAGTCTAGTAGTTGAGAATAGTAGGGATTGAGTATAGAATGGGGTTTCAGGGAGGGGCAGTAAAGAAAGGTCTGTGTATAGGAAGAGAAATAAGTCCTTAAAGGGGATAATAACAACAGGCTCCACTGTGCAACTAATCAGTGAGTGAGAGAAGTAAATCACCTGGCAGGGACTTTTCATAAACTTAATTTAGCGAATTGTATTCTTCCTCAGGAAGATTTTTCATTATTGCGGGGCAAGGAGGGGTAGAAGTAGGCATGGAGGAACACACCCAGGTGTCAGTGCTGCCCTAGATTTTAAAACACTGCCCATCAAACACACTGCAGGGTTCCTGCATTGAAGCCTCTAGCAGGTGCATCATTTAGAACTTCACCACTGTTCTCAAGTACCTATCCATGTGTTTTCTCTACTGTAGCTTGATACCTTAATAATTATCATTAAATTAATGATTTTCAGTCATTTTAAAATCATATTCTACCTTCTGATTACAGAAAAATTATATACTCATGTGAAAGTAGGCTATTTTTACTATGCTTAAGATTTTTTCAAGTAGTACAAAAGTATTTAGCATACTGAGTTTGCTTATTTCTCCTGAAAGCAACTTAGTAAGTTTCATGAGAACTTATGCAGGTTTTTTGTATATGTAAATCTCAGTATGTGTATTCCAACTTATAGCTAAGTCCAAAGCTCTAGACTTGATTGCATTTTAAAATTCCTCTAGTTGTTATGTGTAAAATGAGGCTTACACAGAAGCATGTTCAATAACTATTCATCAACTTTTGTAACTAGAAAATTCCTATTGATTTACATAAACAAAACTAGTTAGAGACATTCAACCACAAACAATAGGAGTTATATTTGTTATTAAAATAAATAAAGTGAAGTAAACAACAGTGTTCCATTTATGCAGCAGTAATGATGTAATTGGCTAGAGGAATTCACCATCAATCTGAAATTTTGTTAAACTATTATGTAATTTCTTTCTAGTACTACAATTATTTCAATTAAAAAAGTGGCTTCATTTTGATCATCTATATCAAAGGAAACAGAAAATATACATAACTCTTACTGTTCTTTTAAACTGTTACTATCTTTAATGAAAAGGTATTTAATGCATATCAATTGCTATTTTCCCTCATTATTACCATCTATTTCTTCTTATATCACCATATTAGTAAAAGTAAACCCCCATTTGAAACTGATATCAACCTTGGAATTCACAGGTATCTCAAAGCCTCCACTTTGCCTTAATGTTAATTGAGAAAGTAGGTGTTTACACTAATTTCCTAATGTTAAAGCACAGGCTATGATTGCAGCAATAAACACAGAGTATCTCTGTTGCATTTATTTCTCAGTCAAAAAATCTTAGCACTTCATTTCGTTTATTTTTAGTGTGGAGCAAGTTTCCATGTTAGAATACTCATTAATATTTAATAACTTATGGAAATGTATTTGTTTTTGGTGATCATGCATTTCCATTTTCATTGTTGCAAAATGTTTACCAGTTTATGGCATGAGTTATTATTTATGTTTCCACATTTAGGTTGCTAGAAATTCTCCCAATCAGACATGATCATAAACAACTACCTTGATTTCACAATTATCTCATTTGTTCTGAGTGGTAGCAAGGGGCAAGAGTTAAAATCCTCAACACACTACTGTAGTCTGAAATTGGTAGATTCCCTGAGGTGATACAGGAGGAATTAATTCTAGTTCCTATCTTCTATAAAAATACTAGATTGTTCTGAAAAATGTTAAATTGCCTCAAATTCAAATCTGTAAGAATTATCTTGTATCTCGCCCACAAACAAAGAAATGATAAGAACATTAAAAACACCTTACCTATAAGGTACAAAATAACAAAATATGTAAAATATCTTATATTTCATACAGTACTAGTCATTAAGGAATGGCATTACAATATTCCAAAGTTGACTGTTTAGTTTTCTGTATTCCTCTTGAAGAAAATCTTCAAAAGGAAAACAAATTAACAATTATTAGCATCTGTATTCTGCCAAGCACTGGGCTAGGTATATTTGATCATTTGCTGAACAGCAATGTAGCTAGGTGGTTAAGATCACAGTCATGACTTTGCATACTGCCTCACACTGACACTTACTATGTATGTGACTTTGACTATCTTGACTAATCCCTCTATGCTTCACTTTTTTCATTGGTAAAATGAGTGAAATCCTAGAATTTACCTCTTAGAGTTGCTGTGAGCACTATTTGGCATGGAGTAGGCACACAATTACATTCAGCATTGGCATTATCCTCAACAAATCTTATAAAGTGCCCTCATATCCAGTTTACTGATGAAGAAACTAGCGCTCAGAGAGTTGAAGCGATTTATGTAGAAACAGAAGAACTCATACTTTAAAATAAATTAAAAACCTTTATCATTAAAATATGTTTGATATTTTCCCATTCTAAGCACACACTGATAATTTTTCCTCTGCATATTTATTGAAATAAAGAGATTGTGGTTGTCACATTCTTTAGACTAAAAACAATAGGTACTTCTAATCTGATCATTGCAGATTACTCCAAGACATAGTCTAGTCCCCCAATTTATAGAGATAGTATGTGTGTGTTGGGGGGGAGTGGGCACACAGAATTTTTTAATTTTAAAACTTATGCATGAAGCATAAGAATGTTAACATTTCTTTGAATCAAGAGAGCACAAAAGACATCCCAAGGAAAACTATGGCCCAGGAGAAACAGCACGTAGCCCAACTAAAGATAAATAAAAATTCACAAAGGCAAAATGAAATAAACTAGGCAATTGTTCAGATAATATACAGTAGTGGTGAATAATAGTTTTTTAAGAATCCAGGTAAAAGGCAGGACTTTGACTTTTACAGAGCGCCTCTAAACGTCTTCTGCCACTACCATAATGTTCACTGATGAATGTATGCATAAAATCTTAAGAGCATAATGGAACCTATTTAGATTTAATTCTTGAAAATTGGCTGTACATTCCATGTTTGCAATAAGCTTTAGTTTTATACTAAATATATCCTGGTGTATCTTTTGTGCTATTTACTCTAGAACCCATTGGTAAATGGTAGAAAAAATTGAAAAAGACCCTGAATTAAGTAGACTCTTTTTTGTTCCAAGTTCATTTAATGACTGTATAACCTTAGATAAGTTATTTCTATGCATCTTGGCTTTACATTATTTAAAATTTCATTTGTGTTTTAAACAACCATGTTAACCATTATTATTTTATTGCATTCCCAAAGCAATTCTGTGGAATAAACTAGAAATCACTAGTACCTCTATTTTATAGTTAAGAAATCTGAGTTTCAGAGAAATGACTTCCATTGGATAAAATAGAACTGGTATAATGAATAAAAATAGCTAATTTTTACTCAATACACAATTCTAAATATTTTATGTTCATTTATTCATTTTATCTTCACGACATCAAACACATGCAGTGGGAGCTGTTATTATATCCATTTTACAGATGAGGTGATTGAAGCATCATAAGATTAAGTATCTTGCCAAGGTCACAACTAATAAATGGCAGAAATGGAATTCAAGCTCAGTCTATCTGCCACACATTTAACCATTTGACTAAACTGCCTTCTTAAGGACAATAAAAATATTAAAGACTGTGGTACCTGCCTTTAGGTTATTTAGACTCTTTTACAAAGTAGTCAAAGTATAAATAGGCTTATCATAGGAATTAGTTCTGTTTGTTTTCTGGAAGAAAATAAATATTGCAATTTGTATATTATTTCAGTGCTCCTGAATTTGTTTAGTTCTTACATTCTTGCTTTATAGTGCCTGAAGGCTGAAAATAGTCTTACCTTATAGCATTTGGGGCTGAGACTATTAGTTTTGTGGTATTGAAATAAAAATATCTGCTGTTTGTGCTCCAAAACTAACCCAGACTAGGAATATAACAGGAATAGGAATTTAAATGCCCATAGGACTCAAACCACAGACTCCGGACTTCTCTACCACCTACTCTGCAAGCTCCCTTAGAATTAACCCCTTTCTCACCAGACCGAGCAATACATACTGGATATGCCCAATTATAAGGTTAGAGCCTTGCATGGAGTTTCACTTTCTCCAGGTTTTACCAGCTGCAAAAGGAAGGAGGAGACTGAGGGAAGAGTTAAACAGGTAGAGAACTTGCTTCAGCTAAGGATGCTCATGGCTAAGACAGAGCAAGGAAAGCTGAAGAGGGATGAGAGACTGCAGCGAAAAGCACCTTGTCAGACACATTTGATCCCGGTCTCCAAGTTGGAATGTGAGCCTGGTGGGTCCCTCTTACGTCTTTTTGGCACAACCTAGGCAGATCTTGAAGACTGGTGTGATTACTCAGGCCAGAGGTACAGTAAGGGGTGGGGCAGGGACGTTGGATCTTGGAGAATGCCAGTGACTGTGTGAGTCCCGCCTGTCCCTGCATTCCCCAAAGAGCTGCAGCTTTTCAAGGGTTCCAAGCAGGAGACCAAGATGCACAAGTAAAGCCAGAGCTCATCATAATCTTTGCTCATCCGACTAGTTGGCCCCTTCCATTTGACTGCCGGGCCCTTTCCTGGCACAGTCTCAGGTATCCCCGCCCAATCACTACTAAACCCCGGAGAAGTGGAATCTCCACACAGCTTTCCGTGGGTCTAGCAGGGGCCTGGGCATGCTCAGTAGGCTACGTGGTTCTCTTTCTCTCTCTCTCTTTCTCTCTCTCTCTCTCTCTCTCTCTCTCTCTGATGGGGGAGGGAAGGTGGTGACAAGTTAGAAGCGCTTGCGGCAGGTCCCCGCCCCCAGGATCGGGCTCCCCCTGCAAAGACAGGATGCAAAGGTAGAAGCACCTTACTTCGCAGCATCCAGACCTGGAGGGGCTGCGCCCACTGGCTGAGCCCACCCGTTCCCCAGCCAAAGGACGGCCCGCTGTTCTCCATGGTACTGCGGAGAGCTCAGCTCCGCCCTTCTCTTTCAGAAGGACAGCACCCGGCGTCACGTAACCCAGCCTTCTCGGGCTCCACCACCGCCTCTTCCTTCCCAGCTCTTTCCCTCTCCTCCTCCTCCTCCTCCTGCTCCCCTCCGTTGCCTGTTCTCCCCTCCCGCACTCCTGGAGATAGACGCTCAAGCCTGACGCTTCTGAAAAGGCAGCAGCAGTCGCCTTATCCATAGACCTCAGGAAATTCGCTTTGACTGATGCATGCTTCAGGCTCTGGCTCAAGCTAAGGGGAATAAACACACAGGTAAAGAGGCTCAATTTGGGTTGGGGGGAGGGGATGGGGCGAGGCAAGCTGGAGAAGGATATCTTTCCCCATTGCAACTGAGCCAGGATCTGCCACAAATACACCGGGAAGGATGGGTGGTGGGAGGGTGAACGAGTGTAGATCTTGGTTGCTTTGCGGGAAGCCTTTTAAATAGATGGCAAGAATATGAGATGGTGGAACTGGGATAGTAACTTAAAGGCTGAATGCAGTGATTTATTAGCAAAAGAAAGAAAATAATAGGCAGGTCAGAAATCAAAGCAATAAAATTTATCTATATCTATATATTTCTTTCCCTTCCTCATTAGCCCCACACTGTGCCTATCCTTAATTTGTGGAGTAGAGTCTACGATCCAAGAAACTGCGCTGGTATTAGAGATGGAGCTTAGAGACTGGGCGGGAAAGCCAAGGAGAATTTTGGGTGTGCGTTGGTATTGAGGGACTTTGCAAAAGCCAGGGGCAAAAAGATAGGCACTTCTAAAAATTTCTCCCAAATATTGCAGGTTCGTTATGAGCATATATATTGAAGGGTGCATGGAAAGATGTGTGTGTGTGTGTGTGTGTGTGTGTGTGTGTGTGTGTGTGTGAGAGAGAGAGAGAGAGACAGAGAGAGAGACAGAGACAGAGAGATCATAAACATTAAAATATGCAACTGCAGCTGATGATCATACTGTATTGATCCTTCCAGTGACTTGGGAATGAATTTGATTCTAGAAATGAAAGAAAAGATTAATGGGGCTGTTAGCCTGCTTTTGAATTAGAGCGCTTCTTCATTTGGCTGCAGTAAGATTGTTTTTCAGATCCCTTTATTTCATCCTCTAATCTGTGAACTCGCCAGGTCTTTCCGGCACCTAGAGAGAATCCGCTTTCTCCATATAAATACAGATGCACTCTCACACACAATGAGCTTCCTCTAAGAAGTGGGAGAACCAGTTAACCTCCCCTTTGGTAAGAATATACATATATGTATATCTATATCTATAGATAGATATACCTCTAGGTTTTTCCTCTCTTCTCCTCTATCCCTTAAAAAATTGTCAAGGTGTGCAGTAGTGGAAAAGAGCAAGAGGGAGGAGAGAATAAAGGTTATGTGATCTATGTAATATTAATTAATAAAAAAATTGGCTCCAGCAGAGTCACACACACAAGTAAAAAAGGTTTTCTAACATATAAGCTTGAGGATGGGTTCAAAGCACCACTCTTAACTGTGACAATCAGATTTATTTTGCAAATGACTGAAAATTTAGCAGATTTCTGAGTCCACCTAAAAATGTAGGTATATTGAATAATATGCTATTTTAGATAATTTTTGAGAGCACCCCTCTTTGGATTTGGCACATGAGTAGACAAGATATGAAGTGATTGTTGATGGAATGTATCAGCCATAATAAATAACCAACTGAGATTTTTATTTCCTTTTGCTAGTGGGCAGTGTGTGTGTGCGCCAGCATGTTCGTGGTGTGTGTGTGTGTGTGTGTGTGTGTGTTGAAAGAGAGAGAGACCCAGTCATCAATTTCATCTGGGAGGAACTTGAAGTGGGATCCCCTAGCTTGGTGGCTCTCAGCTGACACCTGTAGGGATTGCTCTGTACTGAAGAGAAATGCTCTCAGCTCTCTCCATGGAGGAGCAGCAGCACAATGCGGTGCCATAAATTACTGCTAGTTTCAGCTTGCAGGGGGAAAAAAAGTGTTAATTGGATAGTGAGCTTCTATGTCCAGGCAATAAATTTAGGGTGTATGTGTGTTTGTGTTTGTGTTGCAGTGTGTGTGTGTGTTTGAGGGGTGAGGAGTAGTGGCAAATGGTGAGAAAGATATATTTGCTTCCTTGACATGACCAGATGATACATTTTTTTCAAACTGTGAGAGTAATTTTTTTGTAAAAAATGACTTAGAAATAAACCCCGGTATTTGTGATTTCTGTACCATTTCAAGAACCTGTCAGATTAGAGTTGAATAAAGAGAAGTGATTTAATAATATAGTGAGTGATTTGAAGGTATGGTTTTAAATTCTAGCATCCTGGAGCCATAGGAACTAAGGAGACATACCATGCCAACTGCTGCTCTGACCACACAAATCCTAAGGGCTGACAGGAAGATAAGGACTTGAGGAGGAGTTAGATCACTACAATGTTAGGCAAAATATTACATACTTTACTCATCTTTAGAGGAGCTAATATTATGGCACTTGAAACATAAATACTGCCAAAAATATATAACTGGTTCCAATTAGATATTTTCTTCTATGACAGGTTATTCCTTTAACAAAAAGGAATACTATACTTGTGTAAAAATTTAAAAGAGACTACCAAGAAACCATCAATATTCCTTCTCTCTCTGAGAAAAATGGCAGGAATGCTATACAAATCTAAGCTGGCAGCTTCCTACTGACAGTTTGATCTATTTTGCCTTTTGTAAAATCTGCTACTAACTGAAATTTGAGTAAGTTATACTTTTACTTTCCATGTATCCAACACACAATATAAGTAGAAATCCTTAAAAGGGCCTTTTTTCTCCCCTCATATATTTTAAAAATAAAACTATCTTGGAAATAGAAAAAGATAACTGTGTAATGTCTGATCGTAAGAGTGTGATATTAACTATTGGGAAATATTAGGCCTTACTTGTAGGTCAAGACAAAAAAAAGCTCCATCACATAAGGTTAACTCTGGCTTACTAACAGTGGCAGTTCTATACCTGCTTTCTGAGCTGAATAATGATTTGTATGATATTATAATTGACTTTAAACCTTAATTTTAATTCTCTGCAGATTTCTGGGTCCTTATAAAAAGACAAAATAAAACCAAAATGCATCACCAATACACAACCAATTGATGTGCTGGCATCTTAGCTTGGCCTTCCAGAGGTGGAGAGGAAAGAAGAGGAGCTGTTGTGATTTCCACATCTAACAGCTTCTGGCTATCTCACAGCTTCTGGAATTGAGTCCTACTGTTGGGGAGGTTAAAAAGAAAAGTAAAATCCAGCCTGTGAGGCCATGCACAAGGAATTTGGCTTTAGCTGCAGTGGTGCTGAAGTCCATGACATGATGGAACAAGCAGGCCTTTGAAGCTATTCTGAGGTTACTAAAGAGGCAAGACTCTTTCCTCCTTTCTGGTTTGGGACACTACATTCGCAGGAGAAACACTTGAGGCATTCACAAGCTTCCAAGGATACTGATTCATTGCTGGGTTTTGGTACGTCCCTGAGAAAAGCGTTTGCTTCTTACTGACTCTAACTAGTTCACTTTTGTCTGGGACCACTGGTGGTACTCGGCAGATAATGGTATTTGAGGAGTGAAGTATCTGCTGACACCACAGATGCCCTTAAACTGGTTCATCAGACTTCAATGGATCAGTGATTTCCCTTGATCTTCTGTTGACGCCTTTTCCAGAACGTTGCCTCCAAAGTGTATCCTCCCTTTGGTCTGGAAGTTCTGTGGCTGCCCTGCACCACTGGGGTCTACGTTTTCCTGTTGGAAGGGGACTATAGGGAGAGAGGGAGGGGTTGTTGGAAGAAAAAGAAGAAAAAAAGAACTAGATAAAGGAGGGCACATCCCTCCCACCCTGCCTATCCCTTTACCCTACTTTCTCTTTGGACCCTTATTTCTTCATCACGGTGTCCAGGACCATTTTGACCCTGTCGGCCCCGGCACCCCCCCGCCGCACCCCAGCCCCGAGCATGGGGACGGCGCTTCTCCAGCGCGGGGGCTGCTTTCTCCTGTGCCTCTCGCTGCTGCTGCTGGGCTGCTGGGCAGAGCTGGGCAGCGGGCTGGAGTTCCCGGGCGCTGAGGGCCAGTGGACGCGCTTCCCCAAGTGGAACGCCTGCTGCGAGAGCGAGATGAGCTTCCAGCTCAAGACGCGCAGCGCCCGAGGCCTAGTGCTCTACTTCGACGACGAGGGCTTCTGCGACTTCCTGGAGCTGATCCTGACGCGCGGGGGCCGCCTCCAGCTCAGCTTCTCCATCTTCTGCGCGGAGCCCGCCACGCTCCTGGCCGACACGCCGGTCAACGACGGCGCCTGGCACAACGTGCGCATCCGCCGCCAGTTCCGCAACACCACGCTCTTCATCGACCAGGTGGAGGCCAAGTGGGTGGAGGTTAAGTCCAAGCGCAGGGATATGACGGTGTTCAGCAGCCTCTTCGTCGGGGGGCTGCCCCCGGAACTGCGCGCTGCGGCGCTCAAGCTCACGCTGGCCTCGGTGAGGGAGCGGGAGCCCTTCAAAGGGTGGATTCGTGACGTGAGGGTCAACTCCTCCCAGGCGCTGCCGGTGGACAGCGGCGAGGTGAAGCTGGACGACGAGCCGCCCAACAGCGGCGGCGGGAGCCCCTGCGAGGCGGGAGAGGAGGGCGAGGGCGGGGTGTGCCTCAATGGAGGCGTGTGCTCCGTGGTGGACGACCAGGCCGTGTGCGACTGCTCGAGAACCGGCTTCCGCGGCAAGGACTGCAGCCAAGGTAAGGCCCTTCGCCCGACCCACGGGGGCCTGGGCCTGGGCAGGGTGCGGGGAGGCAGGGCACGGCAGGTGGGACCGGGCTGGTGCATGGGGCCTTCCTCCTCCGGACACCGTGGGGCAGTTTGCTTGGAGGCGAAGGCCTGTTTCTGGCGGCCTCTCTGTCTTACCACTTCCCACAGCTCCTCCCAAGGAATCCTCTTAATGGCTGAGCAGCCCACACTTCCAGGTTCAGTTTCCTCCCGGAGCCCTTTCTACCAACCCTACTTCCTAGCGGCAAACGGAACGGCCTCTCCTCATCCCTCGGGTTCTTTGGCAGGTTGGCCCCTGTATTTATTGGGTCATGGCCCACATAAATGACCACTGTGTGTCCCTCTGCCACCTCTACATCTGTAACACACAGACTTTGCCTGTAAGATGCAGACAAGCGTCTAGATTCTAGAAGATTGGGCACGTGTTTGATGAAGAATGAAGCGTAGGAGAGGGTCCCCACGGCCATGGTTGAGAATCCCCCCTTGGTTATGGTTACTCTGGTAAAAGGACGAGAGAGACAGGGTTCACAGGCACTGTATGCCTTCTGCAAATAGAGTGGTAAAGACTTGCTCTTGGTTGTGAAAAGGGGGAGGGGGAGACGTGAAGCTTTTCTTCATTAACAGGAGGAGAGGTTTTTTTGGAATTAATGTTGGTTTCCATGGTTATGTCCAAGTCCAACATTTGTCAAATTTAAGTAAAATTTTGTGATTTCTGTGGTTTCTTGAAGTGCGAGACAGGTCAGCTAATGTTTTACAATGTTCGAGATTCAATAACATATTTCTCAATTAACAAACGCCTTGGAAAGAGAAATACAGTAGTAGAGAAATTTAGATGTTGCTGGATTAGGAAGCTTCTGCAGGCTAATAAACAGGGCATGCATGTGAGGGATTGCAGGTGATTTTCTAAGGGTATTAAACTAATGACATTTATCTGAGTAGTGGAGGGCCAAGTTGTAATATCTGTGGTTCTTGGTGGGTTGAAATAGTGTGACACTAAACAACAAAAATCATACCTAAGTTTTATTTTCTCCCCTTTACAAATAAATTCAGTCTTCAGTGTGTTCCTCTGATGTTGTTACATGACAAACCAAGGCAAATATTGTGGTATAAATGCAGAAAATCTATGAATAGATAGTAAGTGATGAAATATGGATGTATCATTGGCAAAGCAGGAGAGAAGATATCAAGGGTTTAAAGTAGATACCTTATGGGTCAAATCAAGGCAATCAACACATGGATTAATGATATTAATAGCTGAAATGGGTAAAAAAAAGGTGAATTATTAAGTCTGATTTTGAAAGCTATAGGGACAAAAGCTCTATGTGTGACTGTTTTATTGTATAATGCCTTTTTGTTTTTTTTTTTTGCTGACACTGCTAAGGGCACTAGCCTTTGTAAACCTCATTAGACTTGGCAGTTCTCTCTCACTTGACTTTAAGAGAAATGAAGACTTGATAAAATTTGTAATTGTTTAAACAGCAAAGGGAGTTAGTTAGGAAGGAAAAAAACTGGTCTTTAAGAGAGTTCTGTAGCTTTCATAGGATTGGGGGATAAAAAAATAAAGGAAAGGGCTGTTTTATTCCCACTCTGCCTTCATGTGAGTTTTTGTTTTTTATTATATTTTGGTTTAGGCAATTAATGAAGGCTGTGTAATTCCATGGCCTACACTGTACTTCAGCTTTTGCAGTAAATTTCCATAGGTGTTAGAGCAGGCTTTATAGTTATGTTTTAAACCTAACCTAATTGTAAATCATGAATAAGAAAGCTACATATGATGATTTCTAAATTGTAATTTGAAGTTGCATACCTTTGCACTGATTAATAAAATAAATTAAAAAATGAACATTATTTTGTGGGAAAATTGCTTTAAGTATCCTAATGCCACTTTAAAAGATAGAGAAGGCAATTTAATGAAGGACACATGAAATATAACTTCCTTTTTTAAATTAGGAAACAAAAATGACACAATGACAGCTTGTACTGTGTGGGAGGGTGTTTTAAATGAAAATTTTTATTTTTCTATGTATTTTTAACGTAGGGATCCAGGATCATGCATAAGCAGGAACAGTTAAGGTGGAGAAAGAATGCAAAAAGTAACACATTAAAGAGAAACAGAATTAGATGTCTCTGAAATGTATTTTATTTTGGCAAATGGATAGCTCTTTATATAAGATAAAGAATTTGGAATTACCAAAACGTATAATTGAACAGTATAGTGCCTGATGCATAAGATAATTCAACTCAGAAAAGCAAATCCATCAGGACTGTTCTCTGGAGCATTGATTCATTTTGAAAAATTGAGGTGAAAACGGAGTATAAAGATCACCACTAGTCATGGAAGGAAAACAAAAGGCTGGATTCTTCTGAGTATCACAGAAATGGCAGATGGAGTGATAAGGCAGAGTCCGTCTTCCTACAAGGATTGGCTCCATTTTGCTTATTTTCCCTGTTTCCCTGTGTGTGTCAAGTGACTATTGAATAATTAATTGAGAATGGATGCCTCTCCCAACACCGATCATGTATTGATGGCTAGGGATAGATGATTTCTATTCAGATGAAGTATAAACAAAGCCCTGCTTCTATAGAGCCAGTATTTACACTGATTGGCACATTCTTTATAAAAACTAATTTTAAAACAAATCCACATTCATTAAAGAAAATATAGGGAAAAAATAACAAATAAGCAAATATTAAACACAAATTTAAATGATCTCTGGTCCCAACTACCATCCCTTTTGAAACTTTAGTATTATTTTAGTTGATTTCATATTTAGAATACAATAAGAACTACTAAAAAGACAATAAGACTGCAATAAGAAAATAGGAATATTTTCTGTCTCCTCCCCAGTCCAGACAAGAGTGCCTTGAAACAACTTACTCACCTGTGAATTTCTAGAATATTTTAATTGAATGAAATCAGTTTCATCTTGGTTTTGTTTTTATTCAAGCCTAGCAAGATTTATTTATGTATTTATTTATACATGTACCGAGGAGAGAGAACCCAGGAAAGCTTATATGACATGACCAGGTTTGTAGTAGAGCCAGGATGAGAGCATAAACACTCTTATTCCCAAACTCTATATCGTCATGCCTGCTGAATAAGATTTCCAGTTCATTAGGGTTGAGATTTTTTTTTTTCAGGTTCAGGTGTTATTCAAGAGAAGAAAATATATATATATGGTTGATGGAACAGAACTAATTTATGCATCTTTGACCCTGAGAGTCAGCTTCAGAACTCAACTAACCAAAAATGTCATCCTTCCTGAATGATGGATGTTTATGAGATACAAAGCTTTTTCATATTCATATCATCTAAGTGCCCCTGGAACATTATTATTTAATAAGTTTCTATTTAAGGGTACTAATAGTTTCCTAACTTGAAAGAATTAGTGAATTTCATAGTTACCCAGCTTAAAAACAACAAGGGTGATCAATAAGAAATTAAGTTATGCTTCTCATGATTTCCAGATCCAGGTCTCATGCATTTTTAAGGTCAAATATACTAAAATTTCATTAGACTGTGAGTGTCACATTTTTACATTTTCTCTATTTAAATGGCCATAAACACATGACTTATGCAGACTGATTGCTTAATATTACCGAAGTGGCAATGTGATAGCCATGACTTAATAAAGCCCCTGCTTCCTATGACTTTACTAATGTGATGAGACAGACAACAATATTCACTCATTCACTCATTCATTTAATTGTTCATTTTTTATTTAACAAATATTAAGAGCTTTGTGTGTGCCAGAGTACTAGACTTATGCAACAAAATTACAGGTAAACTCAGAAATAGTTCCTACCTTCATAGATTTCATATTCTAGTGAGGAGGCACATTAACTTAAAAAAAATGGAAACTTAAAATGGTGGTATGTATTTTGAAGAATGGGTACATGGTACTATGAGAACTTAAAATGGTGTGAGCTGACCTAATAAAAGAAGGTTTTCCTAAGGAGTGAGTATTAAACTAAAATCTGAAACATGGGGAAAAGGAATTAGCAAAGTAAAGACAGAGGAGTGTTAGCGAAGGAAAGCACAGGTACAGAAGTCTGATGGAGAAGATGGCTGAGCGTGTTCATTAGCTTAGGTCTAACTCCATACTCAAGAGAGGAGTGGGTCCAGACCATGTAGGGCCTTCTGGATCATGCCAAGGATATTAATCTTTATTGTGAAAGTGATGGAAGAGCAATGGAGAAAGTATAGATAGTGTGGATGGTTGGGAGGAGGATGGCATTACCAAATTTATATTTCAAAAATGTCACTCTGGCTGCAGTGTAGAGAACAGATTGAAAGGAGGCCAGAGAAAAAGGCAAAACATTATTTTCTGTTTGTCAGTCAACAACATTTGTTAAGCACCCACTGTAAGCTGTAGACTGAACTAGGGGAAAAACAGGATTCTTTTTCTAAATTAGAATCTTCATGGGTTTGGTTAGTATAGAAGTCTGAGGCCATTTATTGTTTAGAACACTTTAGTTCCACCTGTAAAAAGCATTATCTGAACCCTTTATGTGGATTATCATGTGGTTTCCCTCAGATATACCCATTGAGTCTTTGGGCTTGTGGAACCTACTAGCAATGCCATACTTTATTGTAGCCCCAAGTACCTTGCTGATTGTGTCTTTCTTGTGACAATATAAATTGATTGTTTGATTCAACATTTTAACTACTACAATAAAGGAAAATATTACGTAGGTACCTATAATCTTTGTAAGTTTTTAAATTTAAGTAATTATTGTATAAGTAGATAATGGACAAAAATGATTCAGAGTTTTGTTTGAAGTCTGATATAATAGGAAAAGTTGGATCACCTGTGTTGTAAAAGCTTTGAGTGGGACAGAGAAACTCATCAATACTTTTGGTCTAGATGAAATGTCTGGGAAGCTCTTAAAGTGTAATAATGAAACGTATCTGTCTATTTAAAAAGCTTATCTTATCTGTAAAATAATAATATTATAAAAGCTGAGTTACCATTCCAGAATGCCACAAATTAAATAGAATGTATTATTTTGAGATTTGTTTTTCTATTCTGAAATGCAATGGTAGAGTAAAGGTTAAATTATACAGATTCTTGGGCCAGACTGCCTGGTTTCAAGTGGTACACTCAAACTTTCTATTCCTCAATTTTGTTATCTGTGAAATTAAAGTAATAATAGTACTTAATTCCTAAGACTCTTAAGAAAATTAAGCAAGTGACTTCATGTAAAGCTCTTAGAATGGTGCCTGCACATATAAAGCATTCTATAAGTGGACACTTGTTATTTTTGTTGTTATTACAACCACCACTATTGCCACTGATACCATTTTCTTTAGGGGTACTTCCAAGTAAAATTCAAATGTGGAACTTTTCTTTCTTTCTCATCTAAAAGAAATTCTAATGTAATAATGATCCTTGCTCATCAGTAGTAATGCAGCAAAAAAAAAAAAAAAGTAATAATGATCCTTTAATTAACCAAAAGTGTCAACTTATAAAAACAATGAGCCTCTGTTTCTATTTTATGCAATTGTGTTTCTAATGTTACCCATGTCTAGCTGTAATTCAAAATATTAAAAAAAAAAAAAATTCTGGGAATTTTATGATTTAGCAAGCATTTAACACAAAAGCATTTGTAGAAACTCTTTCACTCTCCTAATACCTAAATTCCATCCCAATCCTGTACTTAGACTATGATTTTTACTATATTAATAACTTACCTAAAATATCATTTACCTTTGAAGTTTATACTGTTATTATCTATCTTAAATGGGCACACTTTTAGTAGCTTTAGTATAAAAATGGGTCTATCTGGTTTATAATTTGTCTTTGAGGCTCTCCTGTAAGTGAAAGTTATTTACACATATGCTGCAGCAAGCTTGGTAATATCTCTGAGCTTTAAAAGTTCAAGCAAGCTATTTTTATAGTTAATCATAAGTAGATAATATTTTTCACCATAAAACTGTATATATGCCAGTGAAATCATGTTCTACTTTTGGATATCATTAAATGAAATGTGATAATTAAAGTGATTATTAAAAATATAATTATCCTGACTAACTACAGAAAGGACTGGTACTATGTAATATTTCCATTATTCTTAGCTGACTTGTGAGAATTAGGACTCTGAGCCACAGTAGCTCCTGAAAACAGTTATTG